TTGTTTTTATTTTTATCTTTTTGGGGGCCGGTGCGTTGCCTGATACAGTTATTAAGTGTATCCTAAACTCAAACGGTTAGAACTGAATGGGCAATTATTTTTGGACAATGGTTCATTAGAAACCATTTTCAACAATGGCCAGTTCTGGCTTCTTTACAGCGCCATTAGGCAGAGGTCTATCAATTTGAGTCCTATCTAAAAACACTGGCTTAGAGCAGACAGACACTAAGGGTGGAATCAGATGGCAAGAAAAGTGCACGTCTGATCCCACCAGAAAGGGTTACTCCCTTAAAGTAGCTCTTCCATCCATGGGGGGAACAGTCCCAAGCCACCCCCCAAAAAATAGTGGCCCTACTGTGGGATCAAAAAAGTCCAGCTTAGACACTGATTAGGGCTGGGCTTGAGTGCTATTCCCAGCACACCATGTGATCATTGGGCAATAGATTACATTGGACCACATGACAGGTAGTCCAAAGCGCAAGCTATATGTTCATGGGATCACACTCTTAGATTAAGGGTACCTGTGACACACAACCACGACCCAGAATTTATTTTCCTTGTTGGAATTGAATTTAGCACCTTAGCACCTTATTTCACACAAATTTCCACTCCCAGTTTCCACACCACCAACAGACTTTCCCCCCACACACACGTTTCTTAAGTTCAGCCACCTGATGATTTTCTGTTGTTTGTTAATCGAATGGGAATTAGAAACCGTTGCGGTCACCCGGACGTCTGCCAGTAAATAGCAGTCTACCTGCTCCCACCATCTTAGAGCAGTGGGTTTTGAACAGAGCGTTTCTCAGGTGACTTCCTCTATGAGAAAAGCAGTCCTGGCAGACAAACGTCTCCGGAAGAGCTCCGTCAGAGGCCTAGATGTACAGGAAAGCAGAGCTTCTTGTGGAGATTGCTGTGTGAGTTGAAATCAAGAAGGATGGGGGAAAATTTTTTTTATTTGTTACATTAACATATTACCCTTCCTCCAATGGCTCAAGCTTGCTTGCACGCGTCTCCTCCTCGCCTTATTCGTACTGCAACAACCATATAAGGCTGAGAGGCAGAGAGGGCTCCAAGACCACTTAGCCTGGTGGATGAGTTACAGCAATGCAGAGGAAGATGACAACGGAAACAGCATTCAGGGTCCAAGTTTAATGTGTATTATTCTCTAACTAGGCTTTCCTTTAGTCCCAAAAGTGCCCAGGATATACCGTGTGGTCTCAAGATACCAAGGCCAGGGGAATAAGGTGGACCTTTCCTTGTAGAGGTGGTAGCACCAGCTGGTACCTTGTCATTTCCATCATTGTGAGCATATCCTAACAACGCCAAAGCCTGTGGCTACAAGTGGCCCAAGGGGAATGCAGAAAATGACAAGGTTTTATTATTCAACATGGCTTAAAAAAATAAGAAAAGGAACTTGAATGGGTGAGAGGAGTTTAGCAAAAGAACAGTGGGGGAAGAAACATCTTGTAACAAAGAAAGAAGGATCAGAAAACAGAGAAAAGGAAGGAGACTCACAGCCTGGCAAACAGTTGCTTCCAGTCAATATGTCCAAAAGTCTTGACCATGTTTAGGGGGATGGCTTGTAGACAAAGGGCTTTTTCGCCAGCTGCCCCCAGACTATGGAATGCCCTCCCGACTGAGATTCATCTGGCGCCGACGCTGATGACATTTCGGCGCCAGGTCAAAACCTTCCTATTCCAAAAGGCTTTTAATTGAAATAATATTAGCTGTGGGTCCGATGGCAATTTTTATATATATTTTAATTGTATTTTAATTGTTCTGTATTTTTATTGTATTTTAAATGTTGTAAGCCCCCCCAGAAACCTTTGGGTAGTGTGGGCGGCAAATAAATGAATGAATGAATGAATGAATGAATGAATGAATGAATGAATGAATGAATGAATAAATAAATAAATACAGTTAACAGGTCAAAACTGATCTGGCTAGCCCTGGCTTACATAGGTAGTGCAGTTATGGTGATGGACAGGATCGTGACATCATAAGGGAGTGGGGTGGGCAGGTGCTAGTCTCCCAAGAAGGCTCAGGAAGCATTGGTTTACTGGAGACTTGAGTCTGAGATCACAAATCCATCTTTTCCTTAGGCATGAACCAATTTAAGCCCTTGTAGTCAATTTATCTACTAATTATTTATTAATCTATTGATCTGTTCCTCCATCCATCCATTAATAGGAGATGATCTGACTCCCTAAAGGGAGGCCTTTCTCCCATTGCCACCACCCTCACAGATGCACTTGGTGGGGACACAGGAGAGGGCCTTCTCTGTGGCTGCTCCCAGACTCTGAAACTCCCTCCCTCAGGAGGCCAGGCTGGCCCCATCTTTGCTCTCCTTCCACAAGCAGGTGGACTTTTTTCTTCAGGCAAGTTTCCCTTAATGACTGAATGTCTAGGAGACAATAAGAGGGATGGTTTATATTTTGTTGCTTCTAAAATGGTTCTTCGTAATGCTTTAGCCTAACCTTTTAAATACTGTATAAGGTTCTTAACTCTTCTTTAATATTTGAATATTTTTTTAAGCTTTTAATACTGTGTTTTTAATAATGTTCGCTGCCGTGAGTCCTTGTTAAGGAGAAAGGTGGGTATGAATATTTTGAATGAATTAATTAACATTTCAAGCACTGAAAAAACTCAGACCAAATCATGTCCTTAGAAGCATGCAAATAATATAACACTACATACCATTACCAAATGCAGGTGATTTATTCATATCATGGAAGTCAATTGAGATTTTTGCACAAATGTTTTCAGAATTCTTATGCAACATTCTGCGCCCACCATCCTTTTTTCAATACAGAAAGGGGAGGGGGAGAACATCAACAGGACAGATCTATTCTGTAGTTGAATTCTAGATCACAGCGAAGCCAAGAGGCAGTAGGTTTAGGCTATTCCAAGGAATGTACTTCATACGTACAACACAGAGTTAATATGATAAATGTGTTGTCATAGGAACTGGGGAGCAGCACTAGTCTTTTTCAAAAAGGAATTAGGTATCTGATCCATATTGAGGACGGTGAATCTACTTATGGTTATTAGTCGATTTAGGTAAATTATATCCTATATTCTTTGTGTTGCCCTTCAGAACAGATGGACAGATGGTAGGGACAAACAACAAAAGCTAGGCCACCCCAAGTTTCATGCCCTGCTTTTGAACACCAAGAGCCATCCTATGAATAAACTAAATCAGGCCACCCACACAATATCAAATTTGCTATGGCAGTGGCCAAAAAATAAAAGAAAAAAGAAAAAAAAGAAAAAGAAAAAGAGAGAGAAACAGACAATAGTTCTTTAAAACAAATTTAAATGGGTGGTCTAGTATGGCCCAATGGGTTTAAATATATGTGTGAGATCCTGGTGGTTTCAGAAAAGCAATATGACGCCCCCCCCCTTCCCAGAAGTTGCCCACTCTGGAACAGCTTGCTCTGAGCCATAAATTCTAAGGAATTTGTGTTCTAAGTTCTAAGGAGAAAGGAAGGCTTGGCACTCCTCTGGGTAGTTTACATCCAATATAAAATAAATATGAAATAAATCACAAATATACTAAGAAATAAACTTATCACATATAAACAAATCAAACAAAAGAACTGCTTGTTATCAATTATACATTGTTAATGAATTATAGCTGTGTGCCCTGGATTTTTTTTTTAAACAAAGCATGTGCATCCTTCTGTGGAAGTAGCAATATGGTGAAGATACTATGATAGACTCATGTCTCTGACTCCCAGATAAATGGGTGTAGGTGTGTAGGCTAAGCCTGTGTAACAATGTACTATTGCCATCAAATGGGTAAAGCATGCTACCAGGACAGCAACCAGGACTATATCAACACCTAGTACTAAAAACACAATGAGATCTGTGATGCGATTAAGCACAAGGTTAACAAAACACAGATGGCAGACTTTTGCTTGGAAAAACCAACTGGAGGAAACTCAAGAGAAAAACATTTAATAGCAAAAATGTATTGTATTTCTTTGAACACCACTGTATAAATTTTAAAAGAATGAACTTTAACAAACTCCAGCCAAAATAGCGCTGCCTCACATTCTAGTCAATCTCACTGTTAGATCAGAAATGCACAGTGCATAGTGTGAATGGATATTCAATTGAGAAATCCATACGAAACAGCATTGAAAACGGATGGCTGAATTGCAGGGTGGCTTCGCCCACCAGGACTGTCCCTCTGAGCTTTTCTCTCATCTACTGGAGAATTAATATGATATGGTTCCATTTTAGGTGCCTGGTCCATATGGGCGCTATGATCCAGCGCGCCTGTGATTGCACCTCTTCAAGTTGGTGGCAAATGTGTGTGGAGCTGTATGTTTGAACACACTGGTGTAACAAACTCTCTACATATAGAAAAGTTAAATGACTAGCTGGAACCCTTCTCCTCAAAAAGGGCAGGTTTGGGCTTTTTTTAATCTGAGAAAGAACTAAGAAATATGATTGTGGAGTTTTTACTTGTGGGACCACTGAAACATATAATTCTCTAACCCTTAAGGCTAAAACAGTATTAACATTATTTCCCTGCACATATGAATCCAAATGTGTTATCTGAAAAATACTCAGTTCATTGGATGCATGACTACAGCAGTACTAATGATCGCTTTTAAAGCTAGGTTTTGCTGGGCTGAAACCCAGAAAGCCTGATTCTCCATTTCAACATGAACGATGCAGCGACAGCTTGTGTAGCTCTATCTTGTACTATTCCACTCCACCAGTGCTCTTTCCACTCCCTTTATTCTAAACCAGCAGACAGGCAAACTTAAAAACATGCTTTGCTACCACAAGGCTGGAGAATGGAAGGTAAGTACAGTAGAAGATTCAGGCATTGGGCAGGTGAGAAATGGCGACTCACAGCAACTTACAATCTTCCATTGCATTCTTAGTATTAAAGGAAAGGTATAGCTCTCTGGGCTGCACCCTAATATTTTGTTGACTTTTCTTTTTTCTTATTATACAGATCATTTAAAAATTATACAGTAACCTCTGAGTACAGAAAGTGAAAACAGAGAGGATTAATTATGCTGTATATGAGGAAAGATGTTTCTGCTTTTGAGGAATGTTTCACAGAACAAAGGATCTCAAAGGAATGGACTAGAATTTTTCCTGCATCTAATCTTCAAAGAGTTAACCAACATATTCTCCTCTGACTATTGCAGCTGCTAACCACACATTCCCTACAACCCACAAGAAATCTGACTTGAGGCTAAAGGCTACAAATGGAGTCACTGAATAATTAGCACACTGAAGTGTAGAAGCAGGTTCTTTTCGCCTGCTGTAAGAAAAATGCACTCCTCTATAAATACTGATCACGATCAGGAAAAACTATCCAACAAAGTATGTTTCAAACATTATTTATTGCATCCCCAGAGCCATAAGAACACCGAACTATAAAGAGCATTTTATCTTAAGCACCCCAAAGGAACTGTGATTCATTGATCCCGTATGTATTATGTCCAAATGAATTTGTGACTCACTGAAAACTTGGAATCAAAGGTATTAAGCACACACCTACCAGTTATTCATAATTTGCCAGTAATCCAACTAGGGCAAAAAAAATGAAAAGAGAGAGAGAGAGAGGTGATGCCTATTGCAATTTGAGACTACAACTATTTGAGAAAAGTACAGAGCCCACAAAATAAAGCAGAGGATTAAGTCTAGGAAAAACCTGAAAATGTTGCAATTCCATCTCTGAAGAGGTTGTGTTTCAACATTAACAGTTGTGCCTTAGAAGGCTTCTTTGTGCTCCCCTTTCAGCCTCTCACATGCCTCACAATCCTTAATATCATACAGTGCACTAGGCTTTTCCACTTTCGGTCGTTATAGTGGCTGAGAACCACAGACCATGTTTCCAGCATCCACCTCCCCTTGGGTCCTTTAACTATGGTTCCGATTGGAGCCTCCAGTGCCATCCACACTGCATTGGCAAGGGAACACTACAGCCAAGCTAACCTGCTCCTGATAAATCTAAGCATAGGATAAGACCGTGCTGCCCTGCTGTCCCCCCCAAAAAAGGCCTTTCTCCCCTCCAGTGTTCCCTTGCCATGTTTCCCCAATCCTAGAATTTCCTCGGCTTCAGATTGCCGAAACAAATCGTTCCATGTTGCTGGAATAGGTGGCGTGCCGCAGGTAGGCTCCAGAGCTGCCCAGCTGCCCGCTGGCATTGTAGCCGTGGGCCAAAGAACTGTAGGAGCCAGGAGACACCCGGCCATAGAAATCCATGGTGTCACTACTGAGCTGTGGGGAGGTAGGGATGGCCAGGCGAGCCGAGGCCCCAAACAGGTGGTTGCCCCCACTCTGGGCATAAGAGCTTTGGTTCACTTGGAGCTGCTGGGCGCCGGGCACCGGATAGGAGTAAGGGATGCCACCGCTGTGGGCTCTGGAGAGGCCCGGGCCTGGGGGGCAGCCTTGGCCGGCGTAGGCCGCGGCCCCAGCAAAGGAGCAGGCGTTGCCCGCCGAG